TTTTCAACAAAATAAATCAAACTGATAATCATTAAAACAATATGAACTTTTATAAAAACTCGACATGCATTATAATTTAGTGTACTCAAATAGTCAAATTCAATATCTAGAACTACACAAAAATCAAAATGTCTAAACACGCAAAAAAAAAAATTTGTAACAAATTAAAATAAAGGAATTTGGTCTGTATGGAGCTCTATTCTACTACCTAGAAACAAATTCATACTATGACTGACAAAGCATGAGAGATTGTTGACAAAAGAGAATGAACAAGCTATATATTTCAGTGGACGATACAACATGTTGTATATATGATGATAACAAAAAGAAATCTCAATTCTCACTGACATCTATTTTTTGAATGTAGGTGGACAATAACAGTGAAAGAAGAGCTGGAAAGATGATCAAGTTGCAGAGTGTAGAGGAAGTAGGTGCAACCATGTTTATAATAGATAAAAGAGAGACATTGGAGACGATTCGAAAAAGAGTTGACAACAACAATTTCAGGAGCAAGGATCTACCACACATGAAAGACATGAAATTGAAAACACTTCAAGGGAGTAAATGTAAATATGGATATAGTTGTTATACAAATAAAGAAGAAGATTATTGAAACTTGAAAGGATAAAACAAGTAAAAGGCTATAGGAAAGCTATGAAGTGCAGTAGTATAGTTTAGAAAATATGTAACTAGCTTGGTGTTTTTCTTCCTGATTTTGAGGTTGGAATAACTAACACTTGGGTTATGATTCCTTGGAGTGCTCTTTACATGTAAATATTGGTTGACTATGATAATTTTTTTACGATTTATCAAAAGAAATAAAAGAGAGGTTAAAACTAGTCAATTATTCAGACAAAATGCAACTAAAGAGAACCCTCCGACTTTTACTTTGTTGATATTACTATCTTCTTCTTTTTTCATATCATTTAAATGTTCACTTTCAAGCTTGATTAATTAAAATTCAAAAAATCTTGCTTTAAATAATAATAACAATTTCTCTTATCAATCTTGGTTTAGTAATGATGAACAAACATCAACTTTATCTTATTCCCAAATATAAAAAAAAAAATCATAATTTTCCAATTCAAGAAATTGGACGTTAGTATTCATTTCATTCCATTTAATTGGTGCTTTAATTTCTTTCCCATGCATATAAAAAAATAATGGAAAATAATAAATATACTATATAATTTATATTATCCATATTTATAAAGATAAATAAGTAATAAACTACTTTTTCCTCTTAAATAAATTATAGTCATATTTCTTTAATATTTAGGTACGATGCTAAACAATTCTTTCTATCTCAAGTTATATTGTAAAACTTGAATTTCAAAAATCTAAAATTTATTTTTTACATAAAATATTTTTAAGTATATAAAAATTACCATTCACAATAATTAATAACTTAAAATATTTTTTAAAAATTGGGATGTAGCAAAATTTTATTTGAATCTCCAAATTTGGAAAGTTGTGAGCTAAATTGGACTGAGGAAGTATCAACTTTGAATCTCCAACTTTTTGACATTTCCAAAGTCGGTCACTTTGGTGCCTCAGTTCTCAACTTACTGAAAGTTTTAAAGAGAAAGATGGAAGAAATAGATCACAAATTCGTTGTAGTGAATGGTCTAAAGCTTCATATAGCTGAAATTGGAAGTGGGTTTTCCCCAGTTGTGGTATTCTTACATGGATTCCCTGAAATTTGGTATTCTTGGAGGTACCAGATGATAGCTGTAGCCAAAGCGGGTTACAGAGCTATTGCACCCGATTTTAGAGGATATGGGTTATCGGATCAACCAACTCAACCCGAGGAAACCACATTTCTCGATCTTGTCAGTGACCTCCTTGCACTCCTTGATGCTCTCAGCATCTCCAAGGTATTCATTCATTCATCTTCTGAGATTTCGTGATGACAGGATTATTTTTCTTTTCGGGTCGGGTTTAATTTCAGCTGAGGCAAAAATTGGTATCGTAAGATTACATTGTTGTGGCAGTAGGTATCCGTTGAATAATTCGAGCTGCTAAGGTAGTCCAGACACCACGATTATTATATAATAACAAAAGAAGTTGTAGATCGAAATTGATGGTCTGCATCTAATTTTGGGTTCAGCTGCCATTTTCTATTACTTTTAGAATAAAATAGAAATGTCGTTTGAAATTACTGATAGGAGTAGTAGTAGTTGTATAAATTACTGCCAATTTCTATTACTCGCTCTGTCTCTGTTAGCGTGTGTCTTCTCATCTCTTTGTATGCCGAATAATGTAGGTTTTTCTTGTTGGCAAAGACTTTGGATCTGCTATCCTCTCCCGTTTTGTTCTTCTCCATGGGGAGAGAGTCTCTGGAATAATTACCATGGGAGTGCCATTTGTGCCCCCACAACCTGCCAATTACTCTGAAACACTCCCCGAAGGCTTCTATGTTTCACGTTGGAGGGCATGTTTTCGCTTTCTGATTTACATTCTCCATGATATCAATCCTATTTCTATTTGATCTCAAAGAGATTTTCTTTGCAGGAACCTGGGAGAGCTGAAGCTGATTTTGGTCGCCTTGACGCTAAAACTGTAGTGAGGAATGTATACATTCTTTTCTCCAGAAGTGAAATACCAATAGCCAATGAAGATCAGGAAATCATGGACATTGTGCAACCATCGACTCCTCTTCCCCCTTGGTTCTCCGAGGAAGACCTGGCTGCATATGGAGCTTTGTATGAAAAATCTGGATTCCGAACTGCATTGCAGGTTCCTTATAGGTACCACAACAGCTTTTCTCTATCTCTCACTCATATGTTGCACAAAGTTGCTATAAAAGGATTTTACTTTGATGTCATTTACGACCCTGGTGAGGAGAGGAGACTTAAGAAAGTAACAGTACTAATTATCCTGAAGTACTAGCCTCGTCGCTCCATTGTGTGTTTAACATTCATGAATTGACTGAAAATTTGAGTTTTATAAATTAATTCCATGGCTAGTTAGCTACTGACCGCTTTCCTTATATCATATTTTTCCTCTTGTTGATGATGAATTTCATTATGCAATAGGAGGTCAATGCATGAACAAGCCAACATTAAAGATCCAAGAATTCATGTTCCAGTACTGTTTATCGCGGGCGAGAAGGACTATTTCCTGAAATTTCCAGGAGTCCAAGACTACATAAGTGGAGGACTCAAAAGTTTAGTCCCTAATCTACAGATGGTTAACTTGCCAGAAGGAACACATTTTGTTCAAGAACAATTACCTGATGAGGTCAACCAACTCGTGCTCGACTTCCTCACTAAGAATAGCCCATCTTGAAAATCATCAGCAAGGCTTTGTTGAAGAGTTTTCAACAGTTTGATCTGTTGCATTTTTCTATGAAGTGTGAATGATCAGTCCATCTTTTATTAAAATTATGGGTGCGCAAGGAGATTCATCTGAATATCTCTTTCTTCGAAAATTATACAACATCAACAAGTTTAAAATTATTTTGGTCTAACTGTTAAGGTGTTGTTTGGTTTGGATTTAGGCCTTCTTGGATTTTAATCCAAAGACGTCTCAACATGTGATTTTGAACTCATGCTTATAAGATCCTAACTTTCTTCTTTCCGTCGAACGGGGAATTTACCTAAGGTATAATGTGCACCTCTATTCCGAGGCTTACCTTCTGTCATGAGCGTCATAACCTGGTTTAGTGCCAGTACTATTGGTTGTGTGTACCTATAGTTTCCAATTAACTACACAATTACATTAGAAACAAAAACAAGTAGAAATCTAGACGGATAAACGTACCTTTTATTTTTACAAAATTAGATAAAATTGATTATTAAGTGGCAAATAAATACATACTAATTGAACTTTGTCTTAGACAGGATAATGAATAACTCACTTGCTTCACAAACTTACGTATGATTCTTTAATAATATTCTAATAAGTAGTAAGGATTTTCTTGAGACATGCCTTCGTCAAAGAAGATGACAAATGTATGATAACGTCCAGAATATCATACAAAATTAGCCCTATTATGAAAAAGATAATTTTATTTGATATATTATATCTATAGTCATAATTCTTAAAAAAAAATTGTTAGACACTGTTTTTTTTCGTATATATAGCCCTACAAGAAACTGATCAGATGAAATTATAACTCACCTGTTAATTCATTACAATTCATATAACTTTGGAACTAGTCAATAATTGTCCATATTAACTCGCATCATTTGATACCCCACCACCTAGCATTTAATGAAATTAGGCCGGCATAATCAATAAAGAAAAAAAAAATAGACAATGGAAAACACGATTATGAAATAAAGTCAATGTGATATACTATTGCTATTATTTTTTTCGTTTTTTTTATGAGAAGATGCTTGTCTAAACATAAGAATTAATAGAAAAAAATAAAACCTTTGCTGGAAATTTATAAAAGATAAGATATAAGATATTTGTACGATTTAAGTAGCTATAAATTACTACAATGAAAAGTTTAAAAGAAATTATTTCTAAATATAAGAAATAATTACTTTAGTTTAAAACAAATTAAAAAGATAAAATGCATTAACTAAGATGAAACAGAGCTAAAAATTAGAGGGAAGCTAGAAGGTTAGGTATGATTCGGCCGAGATGCGGTTATTTTTATACTTATTTTTTTAAAAAAAATAAAAATTTAATTACTATTAAAATTTATAAAGTTTGAATTTTTAGTCTAAACTTCCACTAATAATGACAACTATAAAATTATGTATAGCAAAAAGTTGCCAGGAATAATTTTATGAATTTGTTGATAGTATTTTGCAAAGATGCTTTTTTTTCTTAAAATAATCATATTCGTATTAGTATCGAATCAAATTTTAGTATTTTGTTATTGAAAATTTCATTTTTAAGTAAAATGTTTTTTAATAAAGATGTTTTATACTTAAAAACTCAAATTCGAGACTTGTAATTAATGAAAGGTACTTGTCACACAGCAATGCTGGGGCAAAGATGCTTTTTTTTCCTACTCACTCTGTCTGCAGGCTCTGAAAGTAATTATAAAATCCCAAACAAACTTGATCAATCTTCTTACAAATAGATCAAAAAATGGAAGAAATAGAGCACAAATACATTGAAGTGAATGGGCTAAAGCTTCATATAGCTGAAATTGGAAGTGGGTCTTCCCCAGTTGTGGTGTTCTTACATGGATTCCCTGAAATTTGGTTTTCTTGGAGGTACCAGATGCTAGCTGTAGCCAAAGCGGGTTACAGAGCTATTGCACCCGATTTTAGAGGATATGGGTTGTCGGATCAACCAACCCAACCCGAGAAAACCACATTTCTGGATCTTAACAATGACCTCCTTGCACTTCTTGATGCTCTTAATATCTCTAAGGTACTTTTAATCTTCTTAAATTTTGCAAAAAGAAGTTTTTATAACTATAAACTAGATTAGTGTTTGAAGAAATCGTAATTATCTGGTTGATGTTGCTGGTGGGAGGTGACAGGTTTTCGTGGAATTGTTGAGGTGCTGGCCAGGACACCATAGTTATAAAAAAAAAAAGTGTAAGATGAGACATAGGGTAGTAAAGAATTACAAGTCTGCTATGCAGCTTGCATAAGGACACATACCAAATGACCCTTTTTACTTGTCCACACATACTGTTGGAGGTGTTAGAATTTAAATTCAGAATTAGAAATAACTCAGGGGATTGAAACAATGCTTTTAAGTACTAGTCGAGGTGTGCATAAGGTAGTCTGGATGATACTGTTATTAATAAAAAGAGTGTAAGTTACTGAAGTGTTCTAAACGTATTATTACTATATTTTTAGAACACCTCGGTAACTTAGATTGGCTTTGTTCAAGACTTGACAGACCATAAAAGATGGACTGATCATTCACACTTCCTAGACAGATGCAACAAACCAAACTGCTGAAAAATCTTCAACAAAGCCTTACTGATGATTTTCAAGGTTGGCTATTCTTAGTAAGGAATTCGAGCACAAGTTGATTAACCTTGTCGGATCATTGTTCTTGTACATAAAAATGAAAGTCCCGGGGAAGGAGGAGGGTTCAAAGAGGTTTGATGTAGTATTTGAAGAAGCATTGACTCTTCAGCAACTATCAAGAGATTTTGTGATTGGAATAGAATCTAACTTAGGTGGTCTAAGCTCATAATTCTTTATAGCTCGACCATATAACGTTTGCTGTTTGGATAGAAATTTTAGTTGTTATAAGTTGAAGATTATATCTTTGTTCCTATTCTCATCTCCGTGCATGCTCAATAATGTAGGTTTTTCTCGTCGGTAAAGACTTTGGATCTTTTGTCGTTTCGTATTTTTCCATTCTCCATAAGGAAAGAGTCTCTGGATTTATTGTTATGGGGGTGCCATTTTTGCCTCCAAAACCTCTTGAGTTTAAACAAGGCCTCCCTGAAGGCTTCTATATTTCAAGATTTGGGGTACGTTAATACGTTTTTTATATCTAATTTGCTTTCGCTATGATTATCATTTATTGCTCTCTCTTGGTCAATCTTGGAGATGTATATATTTTAATTGTTTGCAGGTGCCTGGGAGAGCTGAAGCTGATTTTGGTCGTCTTGACGCCAAAACTGTAGTGAAGAATGTATACATTCTTTTCTCCAGAAGTGAATTACCAATAGCCAATGAAGATCAGGAAATCATGGACATTGTGCAACCTTCAACTCCTCTACCCCCTTGGTTCTCTGAGGAAGACCTGACTGCATATGGTGCTTTGTATGAGAACTCTGGATTCCGAACTGCTTTGCAGGTTCCCTATAGGTATCATGCACAAACATCTACTGTATGTTTTGTTCTATGTTGCTCAGAGTCTTCAAAAATACCGTTGGGTGTGTGTCGGATACTCCAAAACCTGTGTATCTTTGGAGGATCTGACACTGGTGCAGCAACATTTTTAATAGGAGGGTCCTAACAATATAGGTTTTATTTGAACCGGAAATTCCCCATTTATTACCCTCTTGTCTCATGCTCATACATTATACCAAGTTACCAACATCATTGCGGTAGTCACTCACAGCCCTGGTATGGAGATGTAGACTTTTTTTTCTTGATAACCAAGAAATATTCGAGGGGTAGTGGTGCACGGTTTAGAACTCGGTGATTAATTGGTCCAACCCTATACCAGGAGAGGCAGAGTTGAGAAATAATTAATCCACTGTGTTACTAACATTCATGAAACTACAAGAAAATTCAAGATATAGCCTTATAGGAATGAATTGCACATGAGAGTTTGTGAAAAAATGCATGAACTTTGTAAAATAGTCGAGGTGTTTGCAGGCTAACTCGAACCGCCATTATAAAAGAAAAGAAATTATAGGATTTTTTTTTGCTGGTTGATTAATACTGAACACTTTCCTGATTTTTTTTCCTTTCTTTTCTTGGTTGTTTATTTCAATAGGTCACTGCATGAACAAGTCAACATTACAGATCCAACCGTTCACGTTCCAGCACTGTTCATCAAGGGTGAGAGAGATTATTTCCTCAAATTTCCAGGAATCGAAGATTACATTAGTAGTGGAGTCCTCAAAAGTTTAGTCCCTAATCTGCAGATAGTTAACTTGCCAGAAGGAACCCATTTTGTTCAAGAACAACTACCCAACGAGGTTAATCAACTCGTGCTCGAATTCCTCACCAAGAATAGTAAGCTTCAGTAAGGCCTCACTGTTGTTGTTGTTGCTCCATCTACTAAGAACAGAAAATCCAATAAGTTGTTGTTGTTGTTTTTCCGAGTTCCGACTACTAAGAATAGTAACCTTCAGTATGTCCTAGTTGTGCTCTACTACATGTAATATTTTCCTGCAGTGACCCTGCAATTCCTATAAAAGCAGGCACTGAAAGATGAAATTATCATGTTATGAAGCCTTGTTCCATCTCTCTTTCTTGTTATGTTATATTATGAATGTTGACTAATTACCTAAGGGTAGATTAATTCAACTTTTATTCGAATTCCCTTTTATAAAGCAAAACTTAAATCCTGCAAGGGCGGGCGAGTTTTTACTCTTTCAATCCCAGTTTCATTGTAGAGTTAACTCGCGATTTCTCAAATCTCAGAATACATGAATTTAAACCTGCCGTTTGGTTGGGAACAAAATGATCTTACTACATTTTATCTTGAAATTATTATATCTTATACACCACATCAAATGACTAACTTCAGCGTGAAACAAACATGGTAAAGCAGCAAAAGTAGAGAATATTAGTTTTTTTTCTCTCCAACCCAAATTCAGAACTAATAAAAAAGAAAGATAAAAGTGCATAACAAGCTGCCAGAGAGGAAGAAACCATCACTAAAAAATTACTACAAATTACAATCGTGATACATATTCATAATCTTTCATCATGTACAAGTATCTCAGCCCACACCAAAACACGGTGACAATCGGCTCGAAAATAGGGGAAAAAAATATATTTCTCTAAAGACTGGAAATCATAGACAAACAAAGGCCATGACACAAAAATCCTGAGATAGGATTTGTAATGCACCAGTGGACCACCACCAATGCTGCAGGGAAAGGTAGGTTATGCTGTACAAAGTCTCATTGTTACCATCTTCGAGGAAAAGACGCAGAAGGAAAAGGAAACAATAGAGAGATCTCCTGCTCTCACCTAACCCTACAAGATTCTATAACTTCAAGCACTGTTGAATGCGTCTCCGGCGAAATCATGTTCAGCGTCATGTGGAATTCCTGGATAAAGAATACAAATTAACATATATATACATATAAAAATCACTAGGAAAGCAACGTCATCAATATTAAAGTTTTTCTTGTAGAAATCATGAATTTACTGACAATCCAAGCCCTGGGACTAGGGCCCTAATGAGACATTCCTGACGATGGCTGGTAAGAGAACATTGAAATATTGGATGCAACTTATAAAAGTTGGGAGAAAATTATACAATTTCTATTATCATGCTTTATCAACTCAAAGAACCACACAAGATCACATACCACAAATCTCTCCAGCACAGGTACAAGAACGGACAATTTATGATCTGGTAAATAACCAGCAATTGCCTGCCGTATGCTCTTGCTGGTGCAAAGAAAGATTAAAAGCATAAGAAACCATTTAAGCGAGAGATAACAGACACAAAAAGTAATTTCTTCAGACATAACTAACCTCTCAGTTGAAAGAAAGGCAAGAAGGAGAGCTGAATATGCTTCAATAATCATTTTTTCAGCTTCTTTCTCCCCCTGTAGTACAGCATCTTCATCATCCTGTACAAGACAACCACATTCAATTTAGTAACCACATGGTCAAAGCTGAAAGTAATCACTAGTTTAACCTTGCTTCATGCTCAATCAACTGAAATCTCTCTCTTGCCCCTACCCCATCCCAAGTGGATTTTATATCCGGCTAAACTCATTGTCCCGTTAAAGAGCGCATGAAGCTAAAATTCTAGTGATATCATAAGCAAGTAGAATTTGACAATCAAAAACTGGGATCACTAAGCAGATTTGGAAAATGGAAAACATTTAATGAACATTCAGTATACTTAATCAATTTGATAAAGCAAGCTCAAGGAATCAGATTTTGAGTTGCCGTCTAGATTTACCACAAGGTGATTGACTTCTCTGTGAATCATATGGAGAATAAACGGAGAATAATATGAAAAAACCCAAAAATTCCAGACTCAGGACCAAACAAAATAAAAATAGTCATGCAAATCAGTAAAGGACTAGAGATTTAGACAAAAAAATTGGATAAAGCAATCTTGCATACCCATTGCAAACATTTTCCTTCCCCAGCAGCCTCTCCAGCCCCTTGATTTGCCAGAAAGATTGCACATAGCAGAGGGATAACATCTGTCTGAGTCTCCCCCTTAAACAAACCTTCTGATCCAGGCAATGAAATACTAGCAGCTGCAAGTCTAGACCTGCCATTAGCAGAATGAGTGAAAATGCTTATCAGTGTTTTATCATCTGAAGTGAAAATGTGAGACTTGAAAATCACGACGACAATTCACTCTCAGCAAAAGAAACTGCATACCAGTATGAGCAAACTACTACTAAATGACGATGTTAAATGATTGAATTAATGAATCCAGGATGTACTTCTTTCTTTTTAATTTGTTTTCTTTGCTAAAGTGATGAATTTTAAAAATTAATGAGAAATCATCACATATATGAAAAATTTAACAAAGACGCATCTCTCAATTAGCAGATAATATTTGCTGCATGATCTGTTGGGATAGATAACATATGAGATCGATTTTCTGCACTTTTCAACAGCATAAATACTCATTTTGAACTAGTCATGCTGAGAAAATATTACTTGTTTCAAGATTTCACGATGTCCTTAATAGAATAAACGAGGTTCCATAAAATTTTAGCAACAGAGACACTATGACACAGGCTTATAATTTACCAAAATGAGATTTGAAAGATGCCAGTTGTCTTCAGTATATAAGGTGCAATTCTTCATAGGGGCACTATGTGTGCATAACCTGTACACTTAATTCATTTAAATAGCACATTATGCTCAAAGACTGTTGTCCATATTTTTACAAAAGATGGCATCTCAAATTCACGTGAAAATAATTTTTTCTAGGCCAAAAAGAATGAGCATTTTTTGCACACAAAAACAAAAAAAACTGCTGTTTGTTTCAGAATGTGAATCCTATAAGACTTGTTTCTAGACCCCCTCCTACACACCATTAAATACTTTTTGATTTCATGTCACCAAAAATATAAGGTGGGAGTAGGAACCATTTCTATATGAAGAGAAGTTTATATCTTAACCACCTGATTTCAACTCTAGCATAGGGTCCGCCAATATTTTATATTCTGCCAACTTCAAAGAGAAGTTTATATCTTAACCACCTGATTTCAACTCTAGCATAGGGTCCGCAAATATTTTATATTCTGCCAACTTCAAAGCCTACCACAACACATCCATTTAATAGGAAACAGTTAAAATGGAATGCATGGATTACTGTTATATGGAATAATTTTTTAAAATTTTTTTTTTTTTGATGACAAGGGAAACCCGCAGCCGCTACCCTTCGGGGTGGCCCAGTGGTTTGAGCTTGGGACTTCCATGTTGGAGGTCTCAAGTTCGAAACCCCTTGCCAACGAAAGATTTTATTTTCAGACCTAAAAACTTGTTACATGCGTTCAGTTGGGAGATTGAGATCAACATCTTTTTTTAAAAAACATGATCTTTAGTGTACCAAGAAAAAGGAATACAAGGTAGCATTTGTCATGACTAACAATAAGCATGCCCCCTATCCAAAAAATGATCCACATGACAGAAGAATTCCATGATGGATGTACCAAATAAGGAAGGATATGCAAGCATCAAATAATCAAGAAGAAACTACAAACAACTCCCAACAAATTATCAGTCACTTTCTCAATGCTCAATAACTGCTAGGAAAGAAATCCAAAATACAGCGATAAGTAAATAGTCGCAAAAGTTGATCATGTAAAGCCTGCAGTGTACAACTTGAAGCATAAATCAAAAGGAAATATTCACCTGTTGCAGCCATCCTTCTCTACCAAATTGACCAGCAAACCCAAAATAGCAACAAGAAAATCTAGCTCTTGATCATTGAGATGGCCATCACTATCAGATCCAACACTTGATTTTGATGACCCATTACGATCCAAATGCAAGCTGAAGGACGGAAAATGGCTGGCGATCAAAGCAGATAAAGCTTCTAGTCCACCACCGGCAGCAATTTGCTGACAGCCAACAGGGTTGTCATTCGTCAAGTTCATCAGAACCTGTCATTTGATTGAATATGTATTAAGAGACTAGCATGTCAAGAGATGGCACAGAAGTTTGAGCAATATAAAACATTGACTTGTTCAACTATATCATTCCAACATAAAGCAATGTGTTTCCATAATCAACTATCAGGAGAACCATGGAGAATGGATGAATGGCCTGCCATGCTTAATAATAGCATAATCAACAACCGGAAGAACCATAAATTGCCTTATAACATACAGAAATTATTAACATTAAGTGAGAAAAATCACCTTAACAGCTGTGAGAAGGCAATCTGCCAGAAGGGTCGACATTTCGTCATCAGCAACAGAAGAACAAGAGGTCTGGCCAGATTGATTGTTCTCCTTGCTACTCGACTCTGGTTTGTTCTCCTGGCAACTTGACTCTTGCTGGCTTCGCACAATAAGAGATTGGTATTCATCATCAAGTTCAAAAAGTGATGTCTGCCTAATTTTAGTTTCAGGCACCTTTTGCTTAGTAGACATTAAATCCCATCGTGAAGGTCCAAAATCATCATCAAATGCAAAAGGATCTTGACTCTCTTCCATAAGTTCAAGTCTCTTATCTCCATTAATTCTTTGATTATCACCAATCAAAAAATTCACTTTTGATGAATTCTTGTTGACCCCAAAACTGAAGTCCTCAGAGGTTCCACTACATGACCCAGACTTGGAAGATTCAATCCTCAATTTAAGCTGCCAAGAATCACTGGTGGAAGTGCTAGCGAATTCTAAACTAGATATGGATGAACCAATCTGATCAGTTTGAGTTTCACCCAAGTTCTTCTGGGAACAGGAACCTTCACTTGTATAGCATGTCGTAGAGGAATCAATGCACAAAATCTGACAACTTCCATCTAGAAGTACAAAAAAAGAAATTATTCAACATCTAAAGCTAATTAAGGTTTCATTAGCGAATAAAAAATTCAGACTGGAATTTTCTGTTTGATTGGTAGCTCTTCCACCATAATTCCAGCAAGTCTAGAATTCAAATTGGATAGTTTTTTATGTTTATCCAACAGAAGAAAAGATTTTTATGAGACCCCTTCACTCTGAAGAAAAACTTCCATGGCCATGGGGTGCAGGGACGCTCACTATTTAATCAAGCTTTTCCTTGCCTAAATGCCAAATGCTAGCACTAAATTGCTTTTAGAACAGGTGACAAAGTTAAAAGAGTTAAAGAGTTAGATTAATATGCCTACTGTTAGTGTTTAACGCTGTCTATGAACAGTATTGAAGGTGATATTTCATGCTTCAATATCTTTTTTCTGGTTAGAAAGATAAATTCCGAATCCTCCTGATAAACTTTAATTGACTTTCACTATGGAGTCTACTCTGTAAATGAATTCCATCCCTAATAAAGGTGCATCTTTTTAAACTATCAAGAGCCACAAAATTGAGCCACAAAATTGAGCCACCAAACCACAAACTCTAAACCCTATTCTTACTTTAGTTGTTTCTTGCATTACAATTTAACACACCACAATTCATGGGTGAGAGAATCCAGAGAAGAGGGAAGAATGTGGGGAGGATATTTCTGTGTCACTAGAACTATGAGCTTCTGAGAGCAACACCATGATAAGGGAACAAGTTTATCCAAGGATAAGTGTAAATCAATTAAACCATTCCCCCAACCCCCACCAACTCAATTAACCAATTCCCACCTCCCACCCAATCCTACCTACTTCATTTCTTTTATGGCTATGAAAAAGAAACAGCCTTGTTGTTGTCAAGTAGTTTAGCTATTCACCAAAAGAAAAAATTAACAGCTTACCGTTCTTATCTGATAGTGAACGTAATTCTAAAGCACGAGCAGTTCCATCAGAAAGATCAGAGACTTTTCCATCATTGGAACTTCCCAAAGAAGCTCTACACAGGTAAGACCCTAAAAGTTCAAACAAGTTGACAGACAGGAAGCATCATAAGCCAAGGGACAAAAAAAATGCAATATGAAAAGGATAAAAGGGAAAACAAAAATGTAAAGTCAATTTTTTTATTTTATTTTTTTGGATGAAAAGATAAGAGGCAGTAGTACCAGAGAGAATCTTGATCACACTTAAGATTAGCTTTGTGAAAGACCTTGGGGAGTTCAGACTATCAAATTTTCCTTTCATTTGAAGCAAGTGATTCTGAAACAAAACAGGTAGTGAACTCAACATCCAGGAATTCAAGGATACAGAAAGGCAGTCTACTACAGGAAGGTATATTGATGTTACCTGATTGTCCGTACTAAGAAAGGTTGCATTTTCCATGATCTTCAAACATTTTAAGAGTAGCACCAGACTTTCTATGGCAGTATTATCTTTAGATTCTAAGATAGACTGTGAGCTTTTCTTTGACCAACCCTGCAGAGAAAATGATGTCAGGGCAGATTACATCAAAATACCCATCTAAATTTCCGATTATTGATTACAGCATGAGCTAAGACAAAAGACGGATAACTCAAATAACAACCTTGAAGTCATACATATTGCATTTGTACACCAAAAGATCTAGATGAACATCAAATCCATATAAATTCTCTTCGACATGCATATATATAATCATAATCACAATCTAAAACCTTCAGGACAAAAACAAAGGATATGAAGAGGGTGATAGGGAGCACAAGTCATCATATTCTTTCAATCCAAAATGGTCATGTTACCACTCCAACTCAGAGCTTAAATATAAGAGGAATATAAAGCATATTGTTGGCTCTTCACATGTCACAAATTTATGAGACTCGTCTCTGGTAACAACACAGAAAATAGCATACAGGCTCACACCTCCAAAACAGAATGGCAACTCCTTGCCACGTCAAAGACCGCATCAAGTCCTCCAAGCTCTCTCAGCTTTTCTTTGAAGTTGTCCTTACTTCTCCGCACAGTACCAGAAGTATCTGAGTGAATACAGACAGAAAGAGGAAAAAGAAAACTATGTTATACTATGCAAAAATGGTGAAATACAGATCAATCACTGTCAAGGTAGCTTGAGTTTCCATATGATCTCTTAAAAATGATTCAATTGTAAGCCACTATAAGAAACACAGGCAAAAAACATGGGTATCACAGTACCACACTAAAAGATTCTAGAACATTATATGATAAAATTTCCACAATCAGAAAAAGAGTCAGATCTGAAGTTTTGAAAGCACGAGCATCTAAAAGCAACAGCCACTAAATAACACAAAATGTAGATTAAGGAAATAACCAGGAAACCATCATATAAGTTGTAAATACAATATAAAAGCAAAGCACAGAGCTACTTAGCTCTTCTATTTTCTGACTTTTACCTCTTAGTAGGAGACAGGTAGCAACCAAAAAGCAATCTCAAGAAGTTAAAGAATAACAAGCTACTCAGATTAACTTCCAATAACAATAGCAAAATTGCAACCAACCCACCCAACCTAAAGGATGAATATTTATTAAATAGCCTCGACTTTTCCACTGCAGGAAGAAGAAAAGACATTCGAAACAAAGAAATATATCCCTCAAAGGACCATTTTAAGTGCCAAACAAACCTTCAATAGAGATTGTCGACAAGCAAGCTTTTGCCATTGTCAGTAAACTAATCCATTTTGGGTTTAATTCTGGTCTGTCATGTCCATTTCCATCATTTGGCTTTATTTCCTTGCAAGAAACAAGAACCTCCTGCACCTTGCGGGTTATTGAAGAGGAAGTAGAATCTAGGCCTTTTACAGAATCTTGAGTCACATCAGCATCTAAGCGCATCGCCAAAAGTTTGCTCCCAATAGTTGGAGCCTTTGCTACGGAAGCAGGAGCAGCAACTGGTCTTAACAATTTTATAAGAAAGCGAATGCAGCTGGGTGAATCAAGAAGATGGTCGTCTCCTCCCTGAAAAAAATTGGAAGATCAAAAACACAAGGAATGGAGAAGTTCCCAGATTACTTATATAGATGATAAGATAGTAAATGACGTTGTGTTGATTAAAAGTTGCAAATATAAACAATACATGTAACAGAATAACTTATACCAATAATTTAAGCAATGAAAGAGTAATTTTAGCATACAGATACAATAACATGGAGGAAGAAAGTTTTATGAACTTTAAAATATTTAAAAGTACAATATTATATCAGTTGATGAAGGAGCATCCACAGTATCATTGTTTGCAATCCACCAAAAGGAGAAAAAGGAAAGGAAAAGGGGAAATTCTCTTTCTTCAATTCCATGGTTCTCATTTCTGATAAGACAAGTTAACAGAATAGATCTGATGTAGAACTGACGCCTTGAAGTCAACTGAGAAGAGATTATTTCCAATCACACATACGCAAAAGTTACTCACAACTAGGCAGCTAGCAGACAGAATAAAGACTTCAAAACTACCAAACATAATCATCCAATCTTTCAAATTTAACGAATAGGTTCAGCCTCCTCACCTGCTTAATTGGGTTGCCTCACCCTGTTTCAACTAGAGCCAGGGAAAAACCTTTACCTATCTGATAAGTCATGCAGAATATGCAATAACCTAGTACTAACGTCCAAATGAGAGGGCTACACTGCTAGAGAGATGAAGCAACTTACATCACTGGTCAAAATGTAGAATAGACCTGCTGCAGCAAGGTTGCTAGGTGAGTCATCAAAGCTGAGTCCCAAAACAGTATCAATAATAGTTTTTGCCATCCTGAAATCAAAATCTTGGCAAGTTATACCAATTGGGAATAAAGGTTGACAATTAACAATCAGGCCACTGAATTCAAGGAAAATCATACACATTCAGGATTAGCCAAAAGATTATATGTTCAGGTAAAGTAATTGCGATTGTGATTATCAGAAATTCAGACATCAGGAATGTCTAAATTTAAAAACAAAACGACATCCTCATATGGGTTACCAATGACTGCTATAAGGTGTAAAGTATTATTTATCTCAACTACTAGTGCGCACGTACTTCCAGACTTGATGATTTACATACTAGAACATCAAATTAAATGGAACACCCATTAAATGGCTTAATTGGCAATTTCTGAGCATATCCAAGCTCACTGATTTATTCATAACGCTACCACAGGGACAATAGGACCATTCAGCCAATTATAAACGTAAAAGCTTCATAATGAACCTAGGCTGGATATCCTCTCCATAGACAAAACAAAGCCAGAGAGATCTTCATACGATGGTTTACGTGAACCTAATATTACGAACTACCAAAAAATACTACAAGGTTGATGTAGATAAAGCCTAATTATAAAGATAGGCATATCGTCGCTTTCATGTTGCATCCTCTTGCAATGTCAGCAACTCGCTGTAAGGGCTTCAAAATTACTGATGAGATCCCAACGATCATTTGCTGGGTATATCCACTTCTTCTTGGGTTGCCTGCTATTACAACTTTTCTTACATACTCTGACCCAAGATGGCAGAATTAAACCTTAAATTCCAGAACAGAATATTGTTATCTAAGGAACTTCTGAAGTTGTCATTGGATTGCTTAATTAAAAGCTAAAAATTTATCCAATTGAACATGATAAATCAGCTCAAGTAGCTTCATTTATAGGGAAGATAATGGGGTCAGGTGGGGCACGGCAGGAGACCAATATGCTCCCCTCATCCCCCTCCAACGCTCTGCACCTTGCCCCATTCCACCCCATTAAAATACATTTCTCTCTATTTTTTTGATAAAGGTAAAGTTAAAATACATTTCTCTCTATTTTAAGCACATTAGTATTGTTTTTCTTTTATTTCGTTACTTCTTTCATCATTTTCAATTAATTTATTACGTTTTCTAGAGGTCATTTTGTAAAAATAGCAATCAACTAATATTGTTTCTTCTCTTATGTGTTTAATCTCTCATTTGAGAAGAAATTAAAGTTTTGGTCTACTAGATAAACACTAGTGACATTCAACAATTATATATGAGCAGAAAGAATTAAGGATGTTAAAAGGAAGGACAAGAATCTCCCAAGGTTCTGGTTCAACAAAAAAGGAAGTTCATCGTGGGAAGTGTGGTAAGAGCACATCACGAATTCATATCCTGGTTAGTACACCAACTCAATTATTTAAGTGGAGAAGGGTGGAGAAGTCGGCTTATTATGAGTAATGGAATTCACAATTGTCTAAAATAAAGGAAGAACTGGGAAACATTAAACTAGAAGACAATTATGCCTCACACTCTACATTTAAGAAATAGATATCTCCTTCCACCACCGAGTAAGAATTCCCCACCCATCTGCCAAGCTTCTCCTGTCCTACTGCCATGCCCCAACAACAACAACAACTATTACACCTTGGTCCCAAACAAGTTGGGTTCGTCTATATGAATCATCACCAACCATGTTCCCATGCCATAGTACCATCCCTATTAATTTTCTTGTTCAAACAATTTGTCTAAGACTTGAAGATAAATTTGTACTTTTTTTTTTGGTCAGCTCATCAAAATTCATGTATCTGGAAATATTTATGTCCTATAAATGTGTATACAAATTACCTAAGAAATTTAAGCAACACTGTGATAACTGAACTTTCAAGAAACCAAGATTTATGTTTATCGAAACAAGAATATTTATACTCATCTAAATTCGAAAGTCTAAACAATGTTCATAAGCCAAATTTCAACTACCCGTGAGCCCGTAAAAGGCGACGCTGCTGAGCTGTTCCACATATAGATAGCAATGACAATAAACTCGCCCTTCTGATTCTCGCAGGCTGCCCTTTCCTCAAACCATCCAACGCAAAATTCACCTCATCCATATGTTCCATCATCTCACCACATTCTTGAGTCTCCATCAAAGTCGCTGTGGGCCCCAGCGAAGGCAATCCCAGCTCCTTCGACTTCACCTTCTTCTTCTTCTTCTGTAAAACCCCATTTTCCTTACCTTTCCCAGTCTTCTTCACCTTCTTCGGTTCATGTAATCCCCCATCAAATTTCCCAAGGCCACCATACTCCCCCCCATCTGGTAAAAACGAAAATTCATCCGATTCTTGTGATGAATTCAAACTATAAGGCTCCCAATCAAACATCTTTACTTTCTTGGGTTTCCACAAAACCCCATCATGACCCTCAAAACCCAAATCCCTATCCTCCTTTCTTGATGGCAAAATCGACAATTCTTGACACCCTTGAGATGAGCCGACATCGTATGGATCTGAATTATTGAAATTCGACGACCAGTGAACTGAGTCTTGAGATGAAAATCCAAAACTGTAAATATCTTGAGAATTCTCCTGAGAAAGTGTGTGGTCCGAAACATCATCGTTTAAGCCTGATTCAGAGTAGCTCCGGGACATGCTTCTACTCCGCCGGCCGTATGTTCTAACGATCATTTTCCGACGGAGAATTCAAAAATCCTATCACTGGATCAACTAAAGAACACAAATATTGATGTATTTTCGTAATTATAACCGAAAATTTGGGATAATTTGGAACCTGAAATTAGGGTTTATAGAAAGTGTTCTTGTGAGTTTGCTCTAATTTGAAGATTTGAAAATAGCGAAGATCAGGAAGCGTGAGAGAGAGAGAAATAGACTTTCTTTATTTGCTAATTAAAATAGATGCGTTAATTTTCATGTAGGGGAATTTACGTAAAGGTCCAAGAATGGGAAAGATCTGATCCGTTCAATTTGAATTTTGGACGGTGAGATTTTGTGGATGTATGTTTGGGGACCTGATGAGCGAGGGTAGTAAAGTAATTGTATATAGACTTGGACCACCTACCCGGTGGGGACCGTTAGATTTTTACTCACAACTCTACTTGCCGTTAATTTCCGTTGGCTCATTCGTAATATTTGAAAGCCCACAAAAGTAGCCGAACAAAGCCCAATTAGCTGAAAAAGGCCAAACAAGCCATCACTCTTCATTTCTTTGTTGTTGTTATTGTTATTTATTTTTTTTGCAACTTTCACATATAGCAAACACAAAATTCATATTTGTATGTTATAGCAAAATTTGCATAATTGCGCTCCATAGCAAATATATATGTATAATTCGCTATACATATACAAAAAAAGAGTTATATAATTCGCTATACATATACAAAGAAGGCTTGTATAATTCGCTATACATATACAAAAGAAAGCAGTTGTATAATTCGCTATACATATACAAAAGAAAGCAGTTGTATAATTCGCTATACATATACAAAAGAAAGCAGTTGTATAATTCGCTATACATATACAAAATAGATGCGTTAATTTTCATGTAGGAGAATTTACGCAAAGGTCCAAGAATGGGAAAGATCTGATCCGTTCAATTTGAATTTTGGACGGTGAGATTTTGTGGATGTATGTTTGGAGATTTGATGAGAAAGGGTAGTTCAGTAATTATATATAGACTTGGACCACCTACCCGGTGGGGACCGTTAGATTTTTACTCACAACTACACTTGCCGTTAATTTCCGTTGGCTCATTGGTAAAATTTGAAAGCCCACAAAAGTAGCCGAACAAAGCCCAATTAGCTGAAAAAGGCCAAACAAGCCATCACTCTTCATTTCTTTGTTGTTATTATTGTTATTTTTTTTTAGTTTCATATGATGACTATACTCATATTAGAAATTAATTAATTTAAATTTGTATTGCGTAGCGGTGTAGGAATTCATTTGGAAGGTAATGTTTTCTATAAAGGATTTTTTCATATCAGATTCTTAAACTCGAAACCTTTGATTAAGAGAGAAGCAGCCTCATGGATTGTATCACATTGCTTGATCAAACAGGCCATTGTTTTTCATTTCTTTGTCATGATATAAAATATGTCACGCTTACAATTTGTCGTTATGCGTAAAGAAAAATATTGAACGTCAAATGAGCGAGTTGAATAATATTTGAGTTGGTTAAAATTAATTGAGTCTATAAATAAGTTGGACTAAGATTGGCTCAAAGGTTTCTTGAGCACAAATGGGTCTGACTGATAATTGGGTTGGATCATAATCCTTCTCAACTGATAATTCACTATTAACCTGTGATTTTTAAGTAAGCATCTTAATGAATTTTGAACGATATCATTTTGACAAATTTGAATACTACTATACATGATAAAATATTCAATTTTATCTTTATCTATTGGAAATAATTTAAAATTACACTATTGTGGGTTGTTGATATTTTTATTATTGACACATCATCTTGTATTAATTTTAAACTTTCAACTTGATATTGGCATAACTCAATTATATTGATATAAATAATTTATCGTGTGACATAGATACCGTATTTCTTTATATGTTATATAAATAAAATCTAGGCGGTGATTTTTTTTTATAGTTAAACATTTTTAAGATTAATTTCTAAAATAATATTATGGGGTTTTAAAAAGAGATAGTTTTAGGTTTAGCAAACATATAAATCATATTTGTATAAATCGTTGGCAGGAGCATCAGATTTGTATAAATCGTTGGCAGACCTCTCGTTTGTATAAAAGTGCAGCGATTGTATATGTATATCGGTTAGATAATTGTATATATGTAATTACTATGTATATGTATCAATGATTGTGTTTGTACACCAAAAAAGGATTTTGTCACATGGAATGCTCTGGTTTGTGGCTATGCACAACATGGTCTTGGAGAAGAGGCTTTGCAGCTCAAATTAATCAAAGAATTCTAAATGTTGAAAATGAAAGGTGCGAACGTCAGCAAACGCTTCATGCTTTTTTAGAGCATGTGCCTGCTGTTTTTCCGGAGCTGGTGGAACAACGCATTCAACAGCTCCTTAACCAAATTCAAACCCTGGAAGAAGAGGGGAGGACCCTTTCCCGAGACAGGGAAGACCTTATTGTTAGGATGGCCTTCCGCATCCGCGGCGGAAACAACTAAGAGTCAGTCGACTCTTTGGAGTTTAAGAAGGTTTAAAAAACATGTGTATATCAAATCTCTCTCTCGCTTTATACAATACAAATTATATATTGTAATTTGTATAGTCTGCGTTTGTATAAAGCGAGAAAGAGAGATAGGCAAAAGAGAACTGGGCAGGTAAAGATATGTATTTGTATAATTATTAGTGTATAGAACGAAAATATATGTATTTGTATTTGTATATATAGTTTTCTCTCACTTTATACAAACACAATTTATACATTTGTGTTTGTATAAAGTGAGAGAGGCGAGCGAGATCTGGGAGAGTGGCGAGCGAGATTCTTTGGGGAGAGAGACGAACGAAAAAGATATGTATATATACAATTTTCTCTCTCTTTATACGAACACAAACATTATTTATACATTTGTGTTTGTATAAAGTGAGAGAGGCGAGAGAGAGACTGGCGAGCGAGAAATCCGAGGAGAGAGGCGAATGACAAAGTGTTTGTACGAATTAGAATTAAATGAAACTGTTGTTATAATATTTAATTTTAATTAATAATTTACTATTTTATATAATTTAAAATCCTGACGAAATCAATTTTATTGAGTGCTAATACCATAGGTTCAAGTGGTGGAAGATGGTTCATAGTAAATAATTATTTTCTAATATCATGTCTCAAACTCAATTTTTTAATACGACTTCTCTCCCTGACTATCATTAATTTTTAGTTTTATGTAAGACAAAAAAATTATGGTAAACTCGTAAAATATAATTTTTTATAAATTTGAATTTCTCGCAATAGGTTATTAGTGAGACACTGAGACTATTTTATTATTACATATATGCATTTACTAGTGTACTTGGCTGCGCTTCGCGCGGTTATGAAAAGAATTAAAATAAAGTTACATACTAATATCAATAATTACTTTAATAAAAAAAAATTATTAATCACATAATTTCATAGAAGAGAAGCTATGCAAAATATTTAGGTTAATTATGAAATTCATTAAGAAATCAATATATGTGAACTTCGGAAAGTTAAATATTAAAAATAAATTTCATAGAGAAAAAGAGAAGGTAATATTAGAACTACTGAAATATAAACTTGAGATGTGATATTTTTTCTTTTTTATTTGGGATCTTTTTAAGTATAATTTATATATATTTATGTAAACTTGAAATATGGTCATTCTTTTCTGCTTCTTTGTAATCTTTTTAATTATGTTCTTAGTATAATTTTTCGACAATGTGTAACTCATATTGCCATTAATAGTTATTATCCATGACTATATCGTTAGCCAACACTATTTTTAATAATTATCCACAATTACTATTACTTGTCGTCGTCATCACCCAATCATCACATGTTTTAATTATTTTATTGTACAATATTAGATTAATTTAATATTTGATTAATAACTTTTTAATAATTAAATTTTAAATAAAAAAAGTTTACATATTTAAATGATGAAAAATAACAATCTTAATTAGTTAGATTTCATATCTTAATATATTATTATTATAAAAGTGAGAGATGAATTTACCTAAACAAATAATAATTTTTTTGAAGAGTGTTATCATTATAATATAATCAAATTATCTAAGAATAACATAGAGGTCTAAGGAGAATAAATTAAATGTTTTTTTTAAAAAAAAACTCAAAATTTATATCTTCACGAACACAAACAAATAATATTGAGTGTATGATTTCAACAAAGAAAGAGTTGTAATTATATTAGACATATCAAATTATTTTACCTTGTAAAATCAAATTATGCAAGAATGTCTAACCATTTTCATTATAGATATATCTCCTATAATATGCAAAATATGATTAAATAAGTTAAAACATTATCTAGCAAAAGAAGAAAAATATAAAGGATAAGGAGAAAATTGCATTTAATCATAGATCCTCCTACACATATAATCATTTTGACAAAACATAAATAACTCAAAAGGAAATAATATAATAGAAACATTACTTCTTAAGCACCTAAAAAAAATAAAGGATAATCAATATATATAGCTCAAAATCCACTAATCTCCATCTCTGGATGATTTCATTTCATCCTATATATAAGAGTCAAGAAAAATAATAACAAATAGATTATTAGTCCTAAAATGAATCTCAAAGATAACAAAACAAAATAATTTATTTAAAAGAAACAAAAATATGTTTTGACATATTAGCCTTACTTGCTAATTAAAAGTAATATATGAAATCATATTTGAAAGACAATGCACCTCAAAGCTTACAAATATTGTAACATGTCTGCCACTAATTCTCTAGCCAAAGATGACTATAAAATAACACACAATTTTAGTGTGATTTTATAGTGTTAATATAACCTTCCACATTAAATAATTAGAGGTTATGAATATAAAAGGCTTGAGAGGTTATGAATATGAAATGTTTGGGATTTGTGAATATTATTAATACTAATTCAAGAATATAATTTATATAATTGAAGAGGTATAAATTAAGAAGATGATTTTGCAAGAAAAAAATAATTTGAAAAAAATAAGAAAAAGTGTCAAGAAAAAAAAGAAAAAATAAATAAAATGAATGGAGGTTATAGAGAGGTGCCACATCACCTTCTCTATGATCCTCATATATATATATATATATATATATATATATATATATATATATATATATATATATATATATAATGTATGCACGGGCCCAATAATATAAATGGTATAATTTGGGG